GAGCTCTGTGTGTGTGTGTGTGTGTGTGTGTGTGTGTGTGTGTGTGTGTGTGTCCCAGACAGTTTCTGGCTGAGTGAGGAGAGCAGAGGTGTTCATGCCGGTGACTCTGACCCCCCCACCCCCCATCTGGTCAAAGCAAATGGGAACAGGGCTGCTGGGGCCTGACCGGGATAGGACTGTTGTGCTTCTTCTTTTCAAACGGGGTGTGTGTGGCATCTATTAGAGGACCAACCCACAGCAGCTGAGACACGGCCGTCAGCTCACAGCTGACGACTGTGCCAGCAGCATGGCCTCCTCCATCAGGAGGCATGGTGAAACCCACAGTGCAGCTTGTCCTAGAGACAACATACGATACCACCTACACGTTTAACTCCTGCGGTGAATAAATATGCAATCTGTTCTGGGTTCAGCTGCTTCACAACACACACATTCGACTAATTGTAGACAGTTTTAGAGGACCTGATGACACCGACTGTCAGGTGACACCCAACCTTTTGAACTGTCACCCCCCAAAACAAGGACACTTGTCAGCGTATTTTAATCAAAGAGTCTTCTCACTGAATTAATTTTTAGTCTTTCTAAATTGAATAATTTATGGTTGGGATTGGAAGGTAACCTGAATTCATGTAGCTGGTTAGAACAAGAAGGAAAAACAATTTATGTTAACTTGTGTTGAAAATTTCCTGTTTGAAAATACTTGTAATTTTAAAACTCTTTGCTATACAACATTTTGCTTCTCATAATGAAAAGTCAAATTTGGCAGAAAGGGTTCAACGACTGAGCAACATTAGAAAAGTTTAATCAAGTTAACTTAATGCAAATGACCAAAAATGGGTAGATACATTCACCCTCAGTTCTCTTCCTTAAAGTAACTTCTGACTATCAAAAAATGTTATCAGCATATACAAGAGGTCACTGTCTATTTACTGGAACATCAGCAAAAAAAAAAGAAAATGGTCCAGAGTGATTTTAGATGGTTTAATGATCCCTTTCAAACTACTTAAAAATGCATCATTATGATTAAACTAGCAAAAAGATGTCAGATAGTATTCCAAAACAGGCTAAACAAATGTGTCATTACCATTAAATGATCAGTTATTTATCACCACTTTTGATGGCTATGAAAATTCTATGCGTCCTGAAAGACATGCACAAGCAACAGCTACTCTGTGATTTTGAGATACATACTTAAATACCAAATTTAATCCGACAACCTGACACATTTTTCCTGGTTGACAATGCCAAAAAAAAGTGAGCAGCATCTTACAAACCAGCAGTATCCCAAGACCAGGGGAAGAGGACAAAACTAAATATCTTAAAAAGCTACAGATTTGCCTGAAATTTGGGGTAAGCACTATTCCTCCTGATCAAAGTCCATAACTTGATGAGGACCTCGAGCAGCAGTGGTCAGTTTATATAATTGAACATGGACTAGATGTTGTGAAAAAACAAACGGTTCTGGATGAAGGGGCATCCAAGGAATCAACATCACAAAAAAACAATCGATCATCTTGAGACTCTTGTAGAAAAAGCCCTACTCACTGTATTCCACAAACTCAAGCTTTAGTTATTCTACAGTCCTCATTCAGGTGTCCTGGACTGACTGCAGCTACAGCTCTGGAATAATCAGGAAAGCCCAAACAGTCACGATCACGACAGGCAACTGGAGCCAGTATGGAAAAGCTATGGTGTCAGAGGAGGAGGAAGTATAAAAAGTCATGAGGGCAGAGCTGGGGGCAGAGCGAGTCAGTAACATGCTGAGTCAGTGGTCAGCTGGTGTCGGCCTGCTCTAGCCTCGAGGCTGTCAGCAGAAGAAACGTTATGCTGAGGACAGCCAGATGAAATGACAAGACTGATGATGACAACACAGAGTGACAGCCCACTTTCACAGTGTGCACTAGGTTTAACAGGGTCATAGAGAATTTCAACCTTTCCTATTATATTCAGTGACATGAGAGACTTTGAAAACGTGAATGAATGTATTTTAAAATGCATGTTAGTGGTTGTCTGTCTCTCTGTGTTCCTTATATTGTGTTCTTACATAGCAGTTCATATTTCTGGCGTGTCTTCTTTTTGTTTAAAGGACAGTATCTTTCAGTAAAAATTATTCAAGTGATTCATGCTAAAAAAGTCAAAATCTCCCTACAAAGTTTCCTTTATTTCTGAAGGAGTGCACAAGCCTTACACCTTCTTCAAGTTCACTCATATGTCTCACTGCTGACCTGAATAAGGTGTATTTGAATTACAGCAGGGTTTGTCAGCGTCCTGTGGAACTAATCATTTCACTTTTGCACAAATAAATGATTTATACTGAACTTGGCATCAATACATCAGATGATACAGTGAAATGTTTTTATTCTATAACATCAGCTCTTTTTTTTAAAAGAACATTTTACATTTTTTTCCCCAGCAAGTGCATGGACTGAATTCCTTTTGCAGATTTTGGAATCAGATGCTTTCCTTACCTACGACCTGTATGATCTCAGCCAGCAGCACTCCGTCTGTAACATCTGTTTGCAGGTCCTTGATCAGGCGCTTGTGTCCTGACTTGGCAAGGTAGTGGTTGGCCCAGTCCGTGTAGATCTGCGGTCAGACACAAGCACAACCACGGTGTTCAGTTATGAGCCAACAAAAATAAAATCCAGCAGGGGCAACCCTGTTCGGTTGTCCACGTGTTTCAAACTCCAAAAACACTTGAAAACTACAAAAGGTATAAATGGTTTAGCCAAATTTACGATTCTAATAAAATAACAACATGGTTGAATGGAAGCAGAGTAGCCCTCTTTCTTTTGTGAGGGGCTCCGATCTGGCATATATCCGCGTGGTATTTAAATTGGGGCCATTGTGCTCAGCCGGGGCATTCATCTCAGAACGCACGGCGGCTGTTTTCAATGGGCCACGCTGACATCACTCTCTGGGGATAGAAAAGACCCTTCACTGCCTGGGGGAGGAGGTGGGGGGTGAGCAGAGGGGGACAGAGCAAGCATCTGAATAATCTGAATAGCTTCCTTCATAATTAGCAGCCAAACTCTCTGTTAGCCCTTCTCTCTCTCATCAAGGGAAGTGAGTTTGGTCTCTGAGATGAAAAAAGGGCAAACAGAGGTCGAGGAGAAGCTGAACAGTTGAACAGAACATTATTCCTAATAAAGAGGAAGTTATTTTTTGAAACAGATACCATGTGAATCTATCTTTATTTGCTGCCTTGTTAGGCTTGTCTGTAAACTGCAGAATCAGTTTGACAAGTGCACCTTCAGAGCAGCTCTCTCCCTCCAGAGGGATCTGAAAAATGTGCAAGAGCCTGGCTAAATAAAGACACCTCTCCATCTATGCCTCACTCAAACGAATGCCAGTGTGGTGAAGAGATGAGAGAGCAGTTCGTTCAAGTAACTGGGTTACTGCTGTAATTTGGTTCTTTCATTGTCAGGTAAATAAAAATGTCAGAGGATTAGTAAAACCTAATTTCAGCCAGAAAGTAAATATTTTGGATATATATACACATGATCAGGTTGTTGATTTAAGAGCTCATTACATGTACACTTGTGAGTGAAAGGAACTGTGACAGCAGTAGTGCAGGATAAGGCAGATACTCATTACTCATAATTTCATTCAAATAAAAAAAAAATATCAAAGTACAACTACTGTAAAACTGAAAGTAGCATCAGTCTTTTTCCACAAGTGAATACTGATACATTTTTACTATAGCAGGCACAGCTGTCATCTTGATCAAAGTAAACCATGGCTCCAAATTAGGAAAAATCTGCTTCCTGGCCTGCTACGAGTAAACACAGATTTCATCTGCCGTAACTAGACTTCAGGTGAAAGTGTTGTCTAGTTTCTGGTATAACCTGATTCCTCTCAGTAACCTGGTTTCTTACCTACATGTAAACTTTCTCAAGTGTCTCTACAATTATTGTTAAATTCAAGTGCAGTAATTAGTGCTGAATGAGTGCACAGCATTGTTAAGGTCAAGCCTTGACACAAAAATGGACAAACAACAAGGGGGCAGGGTGTGTGACACAGTTGTGACCTTTGTTTCTTTGGGGCTTGCATTGTAAACAGACCCGGAGCTTTTCTGCCATGCTACTCACTGCATGAGTCACTGCTCTCATGATGGCTCACAACAGGTGTGTGCAATTCTATGGCACATACATACGCACAACATAGGCATACTCATCGTCGCGCTCACGCACATCTTTGAGCTCAAACGCAAAAGGTTTATGAGAGTACATGACCAAACATTAAAAGTCCCGGAGTGATGTTTAAATCACACAGGATCCACAAACGCAGAGATAAGGAGAACCTTGAGTGACACACACAGCTAAAACCTTCTAAAAGCCTTCAAGCAGCAGGATTAAGCTCTATTATTTCCATTCGCACTCTCAGCTGGTAATGGAAGTGAAATGTTCACAAGGTTGTCTTTGTGTGTAGGCTTTCTTTGAAGTAGTTTTGGGCCGGTAAATTGAAGGGTGGGAGTGTAATTATAAAGGAGGTGAAATGGGCAGCTGTCAATCACAGACCTGGAAACCACAGGGGTCACATGGCCTGAGGGCAAGCAGGGGGGCATGGCCATGTTGTAAGGGGAAAGACAAGGGGAGCTGGGTAAGTCACAACAGATTACCTTTAAGGCCTCAAAGTTTAACTTCTTGAAAATACTTTTTTGTCTCTGATGTCTCTCTCTCTCTGCCAAAGTGGCAGGCCCAAACTTAAACTGCATTATGTCATGTACCTTAAGTTTAATTTTCAAGAGGAAACATTAAAGAGTGATGCATTTTAGTGACCAGCAGAACAGCCACAGGAATTTTGATTTCTACCTTTTTAAAAATACACACAAAATTAAATGTAAGAGTTTGTAAAGCATTGTAAAGCAAGAGTTGTTATTGAGGTTGTACTCTTGAATCCAGGCATTTTGAAATAAATGCATAGTCAGGTGCATGCAGACAGAAGCACTAAAGGTAAAAGGGGCTCTACAGATGCTAAAAAAGTAAACATATTCTATGTGCAAATAGTAACATAGTAAAAAAAATATGAATAAAAGTAAATGTTTTGGTCAAAAGACCATCATCAGTGCAACTTAGACACATGACTATGCTATCAGACTGCCAGCAAAGACCCATCAGGACATAGGATTGACTTTTCACTTTTTCACCGTATCACTTTGCACATGAAATAAATTTACTCTTTGGCATTTGTAGAGCCTTTACTTCATTGTCAACGTGTGAACAGTTTTATAATGAGCATTTCCACCTGAACCCAAGCAGCACCCTCCGAGGCTGAGAAATGAAGCCAATGCAGAAGTACCAAAACCTGCAGTTCCTCAAAAGACCACTTGAGGCTGGCTCCAAAAGGGAGTCAATCCCCACAGACTCACAAACATCTAGTAATCCTGACCCTCTCCTTGTGGGACTGGAGGTCTTCTACAAGAGCTGTAAATTGGTATAGGGATCAGTGACATTCCTGTCGCCAGAGAAAGCAACATGACACTGACTCATTCACAGGCCTGTCAGAGTCCTTTGACTTTCTGTGTTGGGAATTTGTCACCATGAACAAAATCTGGGTCCAGGTTGCCTCACTTCTGATGGTAACACTGGCTGTTAACAGTGCAGTATGAAATTATTTGGAAAGTTTCATACTCAATTATTTTTGCTCTGAAATTCTCCAATCTTCTGTACAAATCATTTCCTCTAACACGGTACACACAATTAGATAAGCCTGCAATGTGACATCTTTACATTCAATCAAACATAGTCTCTAAACAACTGAGCATTGCTTTGTCTGTTTACAAGGACACACTACATGAAAGCCTGAACTCATGTGCATGTTCACATAATAATGTCTGCTTTAAGCCCTGAGAAAGGACACCGAGTTAGTTCTTCAAAGCTAGTGACAAGCAGTAATGACTCACTTATTCAGACAGCTGCCTCTTTTTTTCCTCACATGAACACAGAAATCTGCTTCACAGCCAGCATCCCTGCTGCCTCGGCTTGCTGAGTCACAAGGCCGGTGTGTGATGCCTACAGACGGGCATGACGCACACAGGCTATCCCCACAGCACTGCATTGGCCCTGGGTGGGGAGAGGGCAATGGCAGCCAGGACATCACAATAGGACACTGCACTTGAGTTGAACAGGACTTTTTGAAGAAGTTATAATGAAAGGTGTTGTCTGTTTTGACCGGATGGCTCAGCTGCAGATGAGTAAGTGTAGTAAATGTCAAGACACATCATGACAGAGGTTGATTATACAGTAGAAGCTAAGCAGATGTGCTTTTGTTCTTTTTGTGACTGTGTGTGTGTGTTTTATACGAATGTCTGTCAAACTACCTCTCAGCTGGAGCAACCACTTTGTATTACTTCACTCTTTCATATATGCTGCTGTCTGCACAGACACTGACTTGTTAAGAGAAAACCTGCACTTTACACTAGTGGGAAAATGCTTGCCACATATTCCCAAATCACCATGTTTTTCATGTTATTATAATCACATTCAGTCAAACACACAGCACAACTCAATCTGCACAAACGTCTTTGTAACTCGTAGCGAGTGAGATTTTCTTTTCTTCTCATGCAGCACTTGTCCTCAGGTTCCTGACCACGGTCTAATCAAGTACCTAAAACTAAGTATGGAGCTTGTTAGCAGCACACACTGATGCACAACATAGTGAAAAACACTAATGTTACATATAGAGTCAAGTCGATAGTCAATTATAAAGTCAGTTCAAAAGAAAAACGTGGGATGAGGTGCATTCAGTTCTGTAGTTATAACTGTAGATGCTATTACAAAAAGACATTCCGAGTTCCTCCTAAATTCCTCAACTCATAGAACTTATTACTTATTATGATGGATATTAGGAAAGATAATCATGTTTTAATATTGCCACAGCATTCTGTGTAACTGCTTCATAGCTGAACTGAGAGGCCTGCAAATGTTTTCAATGCGCTGAGGACCATTAAGTCTTTCCACTGAAGTTCAAGCATGAAAATCACAAGCCAGCAACTTTGTTTTTCACATTTTCGCATGACATCAGTAACACACAACACCTCAGGTCTGTCCATCAAAGCACAGTTCTCACATACAGCCATGGTGCAGGGCTTTCCAGGAAGAATCCTGTTGATAACTTCAGGGCTGTTAGCCTTATTACTTTCAGGGTTCAGTAAGCAACCTAAAAATCGTTGCACTTAACACGCCATTATGAAGTAATCTACCAACATGCGTGAGAACTATAAAGAGAACGCAGCAGGGCCAAATCTGCTATAAAGTACTATCTCTCACAAAAAGCTTTCATAGGGAGCCATGACTTAAGCAGCTCTCGTTATATTTAAGGTAATGGCACCCGAGTACTGAGTCTACAAAAGACATGCATCTGATAAGAGTGCTTTCTTCTACCTTTTCAAAGGAGCTTGACCTTTGAACATCAAATGAAGAGCTGGCTAAGATGAAGGCCTCTTCCACTGACTATGTTCAGGACATCCAGTTTTATGAGGTAGAACCAAATCCCAACAGTAAACTTTCACTCATTTTTTTAGCTCACTGCGTCTGATACCTTCTTCTGTCAGAGGGCTTTTAAAATAATTCTTGGCTTCTCCT